GGGGTTCAGTTACTCATCTGTCTGAAGGTGCCCAGGCATTTCTTGGAGATGCCTCAGCGTGGCGTCGCACAGCCGGGTTCAGCCCCGCTGCAGTTCTCCCCTGGAAGAGTTCACTGCCTCTGTCCTATCCTGACCCCCGACTTTTCCCGTTTCCAGCCCACCCTGTGTCTGCAGACTGCTCATCCTAAAAGGTGAAAAGGGTTGCCCGCATTCGACTTACCAGCTTCGTTCTGCCTCACTGTTGAAGACCCCGTTCCTAGATAGGACATCCGGCTGCTGCTTCCCTTGCTGCCCAGGCTGCCAGCCCTCATGACTGGCTTTACATTTTGATGATTGACATTCCTATCCCATATTTTAGCACTTCTGAAGAATTCATTTCCTCCTCTTGTCACACTCTTACAAGGAAACTCCTGGATAGTTATTTACACCCATTGTCTCCATTTTTACCTTTAGCTGACTTTCAAACCCACCCCTGTTTGTCCCTATCGTTTTAGTGAAATAGCCCTTGTTCTGGCCATGGTCACTGATGACCTCCAGATTGGCTAGCGCCAGTTCATCTTGTTGATCAGTTACCAGCATTTGACACAATGGTTCACTTCATCTTTGAAACACTCCTCGCCTGGCTTCCAGGATACCCGTCTCCATTCTTCAGTACTTCTGTACAGGTGACTTGTATCTCTCCCTCAGACCTTTTACCTGAGCTTTACGCTGTCTGCTCCACATAGCTAGTAGGCCAGCTCCAAACCCGTTCTCGTGAAATGTACTGTTCCCGCGTATGGATGGCGATTATCATCCTCATAATTACTAAGCCCAGAAAACTTAGTTGTCTTGGGATCTTCTCATCGAACCCTTTGGCAAATCTTTAGGCTTTGTTCTGGAAATACCTGCGAAGGATTTCTCACCATCTTCACCTGATTCAAAGCACCACCATCCTGCTGTCGCCGCCTCATGATTCCTGTTTGGGCTTACATCTCCTGGAGCCCGCAGAGGCGGCGATTATTGAAACATGTGCCAGCAAAGGTACCCCTCTACCCTCAACCCTCTGGTGGTTTCCTAGTTCACCCAAAGCCTCAGTTTCTGTAGGCCAGGCTGTCTCTCCAGCTCCAGAGCCTCTGGGGGCCACAGTCTAACCTGTAGCTTCTGTTAGTTGCCAAGCCTGCCCCGAGAAAGGGCCCTTTTTCTAACCTGCAGAGACGCTCTTGCCTGGAAGGCCTGGGGGCTTGCCCCCTGGGCCCCGCCCCCACTTTGCACCCAGCTTTGTTTCCTTTTGCAGGTCTCTGTGGCAAGGTCCCGGGACTTCTGTCTCTCCTGCTTCACAAACAACAGCCCCCTCTGGGTTTTCTTGCTCTTAGTCTCCCACACTCCGCTTTTCTATTTCCACACAGCTGACGCCGCCTTTCGTAGACTGTTTTCATGTCCGTGTGCGTGTAGCCACTCCCCCGCTCCTCCCCTCCCTCCCAGACGTGGCCTGTGAGGCTAGGGGCTTCGTGAGGCTCGGGGCTTCGCTTCGTTGGTGCAGTAACCCCAGCGTCTGGCACGCAGTAGACGCTCCGGGTGTATTTGTGGAATCAACAGATGCCGCACAGCGTAAGCGTCATCCTCAGGGTTGTAGTGAGATGCTTGTAGCCCACGTGCCCCCCTCTGCCACCCTGCCTTCTCTGCTATGCAGAAGTGGCCCATTCACCAGGCCCACTAGACCTGACTGGGAATCCGGGGCATCCCTGAGCACACCTGGTAGGAGGAAGGCAAGAATGTCTGTCCTGTCGGGTTGACCTGTTGTGCCCAGGGGCATCCTTCAGGTAGTAGGGAACCTTAGATGTGTTCTGGTTTGAGGGCCCCACACCCTCTGGTCTGCTGGGTGGTGGCTGGTCAGTCAGCAGCTACAGGAGGCCGGGTGGAGCAGGGCTGCAGCGTGGGCTGCGAACCACTGTTAGAGTGGGACTCAAAGGAAAGCGGGCCAGAGTGTGCGCAGGTTTCAGTGGACAGGTTCTTGAAAGGGTGCTTAGATTGGACTGAGGGTGAAGGGGGCAGGGTGAGGGGTGGAAGACAGAGTGGAGAGAGAATAGTCGAAAGTAGGAGAGGGAGAGCTAGAGAGGAAGAGAGAGAGGGACAGACGTGAAGCCACATGAGAAGGTGAAGAATGTCAGAGGGCGAACACATGAATCCCACGTTATAAACTTTGGGACAGAAATAAATTACGTCTAAAAGGAGCCCTTACTCTCCCCTCCCAAAGCCCCCCCAACCTCACCATTGACTGAGGCACCAGCAGAACAGTGACGAGAAGGGGAAGGTTTCTGTGAGGTGTCTTGAGAAGACGAGGTGTCGCGCTAAGGTAGGTAGGGATGGAGAAGGGTTAGAGACACGCTATGGCTGACAACCTCAGCGTCACTGCTGTCCACTTTAACCACAAGACCAGCAGGTGGAAACTTCGGCGGTGAAACTTCGGCGGCTCCTTAGGAGAAGCTTTCTGCGCCCGTAAAGATGGACAGCCTCCAAAGCCAGAGGGGCAGCTCTGTTTGATACCCTGCAGGGTCACCATGCTGCAGAATTGATTGGATGACAGCGAGTGCTGCCTGTTTTGTTTGGCAATGGGTTCTGTTTTTGTTATAAGACAAAGTGAGTGTGTAGTGTATTTTCACTCCGTCTCTTTCTGAGATATGGAAAGTGATTCAACAGCCCGGCAGAGAAAGGCTAGTTGAGCTACAACTTGGAACAGGCTCTCTGTGCTTAACAACAGCCTGGCGGGGCCCTCGACATCCTCTGCTTTGTCAGGAACTAGGCTTCCTTGTGGTTTCTCTGAAATCCTGTTTGGCTGCTTGAACGAGGCGCCTCCCCTTGTAGAGCTGAGGTGTAGAGAGGTATGTTGAGATAGGAGTCAACCCTGGAAATATGGAGAGCAGATTAGAAGGATGGGAGAAGATTTATGGAGACCTCCCAGGAACACAGAGACAAACCGAGGGGGTAAGGACAGTTCCCTAGAGCCAGCAGCCCGACTTTGGACTTGAAACAAGCAGTATTTGTTCAGACCACCTTCTTGTACCTCTGTGACAGCAGCACCAGACAGCCAGCACCGTGGAGGGGGTTGCTTAGCATGTTGACTGTAACCAGTGGTGTTGAATTACACACTTGACATGGTGACAGTGGCGCATTTTAGTTAAAATAATGTCCTGCCTCGCCAGGCGTTGTAGCCGGCGTTCTGTTGGTGTTGTGTGATGAGCTCTCAGGAACCATCTTTTGAAGCCAAGGTAACGATTCTTCTAACACAGCTGGGAAATGTGGCTGCTTGAGAAGCGTACCCAGAGCATTGCTTGTTATCTCTGACATGGCTGGTGCATGCGTGCCTTACCTGTACTTTTCTGTTATACTTTCATATGAACGATGGAAATGAAAGGTAAAAATTCACTTTTGTTTGGCAAGCATTGATTTGATTTATTAATAGTGGTAAGGCAATTTTCCCATGTGGGATTCATGGCAGCACAGGAAAAGTGTAGTCAGCGTCCCTGACGTGGGAAGGTGGGGACTATGAGTGAGTGTCCGGGCATGTCGGTTTTCACCAGAGTGGAAACAGGAAAATGTTCCCAGTCGCTGTGGCTTGTGTGTGCCAGGTGACCATGGGTCCACCAAGCAGGTCGTGACTTGGAGAGATAGTGACCTTGCTTGGGTTACCAAGACATCTACCGAGGAGTTTCCCACATCAGGTAAACCAAATACTAAACCTTTTTGTAAGGGTTTTTGGGGCGCGAAGCGGAA